AGTCTCACTATTCCTTTTAGTTCTCACTGTGCCGTTCAGCCTCATAGCGCAGAGGCGACTATCAACTGGGATCCAGTCTAGTAGTGAGTTTTCTGCCCTGGTGCTTAATGCTATACCTACACCTGCAAGACCACGAGAGCTAGCTATCGAATCTCCAGAAACTCGAAGGGTGAATTTTGCAGATTCACCAGATTGGTCAGGAGAGGTCAGGTGAATAACCACACTTGGGTCCTGTATGCGTGTCTCACAAACACAGCACACATCCATGCCTCGAGTTGCTAGAGTCTTTGCCAACGAAGCCTGTTGGCCAATTTGACGGAGGGTGCGGACATTGAAGGCTCCAATATGTAATTTGGAGCGTGGTTTAAGGAGACCAGGGACACTGTTCTGTGGACTCAGATCGTTGTCGAAGGCTGCAGAGGTAGGAGAAATTGAAGATGATGCAGCATCATTAATTAAGAGACGTGAAGGAAGATTAGAAGGTAATGATGGAGGAGGAGGATAGCAGTCAGAAGAAACTTGGGTGCTGACAGAGTTGTGAGGGCGGTTGACACTTCCCGGCTGCCCACACCGTGGAAGGCTATTTCTTCTTAAGGTACCTGAAAGAGATTTGTGTGACCGCAGAGCCCATCGGACATCTGCTTGAGGCCTGTCACACCCAGCCTTTTGAGTATGATTATTTTGAATTTTTGTATTTTTGGGGCCGGATGAGCGAAAGGAAACGACAAGTGAACCAACACCGCCGGCCCGGCAGACCGTGGGGCGTGGTGGAGTGTGTTATTTTTGGGGCCGACCTTTTCTAACCCCCCCTTCCACTGAGAAGGCAGCATCAGCTTGGCACTGCTGGTCATCCAAGGGAAACACCTTACTGCTGTCACACCCCATCCAGCTAGCAGCAGTACGACTTCGCCCTCAGACCCCCATCATAGTATAGCAATTTACACTATGACGGTAACTGCTTTTCGTCTAACCACTACCCAACAGACCTTTCTGGTATGGTAGGACCTCGAGGGAACAAGCGTTCCACCAGCATAGCTCGTTGGGTCATTGTGATATGCAAGCCCGACCACCACGTCAAGGTAGCAGCTATCGGTCGGGATTCGGTCGATACACCCGCGGCCGGGTTTAAAGCCTCCCTGGTTTTGTTGAACTTGCTTTTCCCGAGCTCCACTCATATGTCTAATGATTATGGAACCTAGAACCTTAGACACTATGTTCGTCAGGCTGATTCCTCTGTGGTTATCATAAGAGGACTTCTCACCTTTCTTAAATACTGGGGTGATCAGTGACTTAGACCAGTCAGAGAGGATCGTATTTGATTCCCATATACTGGCTAACACTTCCGTTAACCTGACTAAGAGCACTCTACCACCATTCTTGTATACCTCAGCAGGTAGTCCGTGTGGTCCTGCCACCCTTCCCCGTTTCAGGCTACCTACCGCTTTCTCAACTTCTTCTAGTTTTGGGGGCCTATCTCAATGTTCCATTCAGGATTCGACTGGATAGCGGGCAACGCAATGGTGGCTGGAGGCCAGTTAAACTGTTCCTCGAAGTGTTCTGTCCATCGTCCCAGTCGTCTCCCCTGACAGTGAGTGGCAGACCCGTCCTTGTCTGCTACGGTTTCACTAACCGTTGTTGACTTTTTCCCCCAGTTTCCTTAATAAGTCTAAATAACTGTCTACTGCTACCAATCGTCGCCGCCTTTTTCATCCCTTCAGCCTTGGCTGCCCATCACTGTTCGCGATCGTTGCACAGACTTTTTCTCAATCTAATTTTAAGTTGTGCCCGCTCTTCATTGTACTCAGATCCTGCAGGGATGCATTCACGTGCATCCATTAGTTCAGGAGAAGCTACTGATATCCACTGGCTCTTCTTACCCACTATTTCGGAGTCGGATACGGTCTTCAACGTTCCTTTTACAACAGACTGGAGATGAGCGATAGTCTTCTGTTCCTATGACTGCCTAGCCAATTTCTCACTGAAAGCGGCCTTGATATTTTCGTTGTCCAGCAGCACTCGTAGTGGTTTTGTTGCCAAACTTTTCCTACGTCCATTGAGACGCAGGTATATACGCGCTCGGACCAATGCGTGGTTGCTATCCGAACACGTACTCCAGAAGGAGCGGCAGTCTTACACCGATCCCCTCCAGCGATGACTGATAGCAATGTAGTCCATCTGTGTCCACCATTGAGTTGAGCTCGGTGGACACCACGTCAGACAGTGTCTTTCCTTGTCTGAAATTTATGGTGACTACAAAGAAACGGTTACCTGAGAACAGCTGTAGTAGGCAATCACTATTATATGTTCGTTCAGCTGGGATTCCGAAAGTGCTACCTGAGTGCCTTTCTGTCTCACTCAGTCTACCCACCTGCACATTGAAATCACCTGCAGCGACCACTAGGTTCAAGCATTTGGCCTTCGGAAGGAGGCTAGACAGTTTTCGGTAGAACGAGTCCTTCACTGCTTGCTAACTGCAGCAAGTGGGTGCGTAAGCAGAGATTACAAAGAGACAGCAGCGAGTTTCACTCTTCTCTTAAGTTCTAACTGACCCGTTCAGCCGGATGGCGCAGAGGCGACTATCAACTGGAATCCAGTCTAGTAGTTAGCTTCCTACCCTAGTGCTTAATGCTACGCCTACACCTGCAAGACCGCGAGAGCTAGCCATCGAGTCTCCAGAAACTCAAAGGGTGAATTCCGTGGGTTCATCACATTGCCCGAGAGAGGTCAGGTGAATAACCGAAATTGGGTCCTGTATGCGAGACTCACAAACATAGCACACATCCATGGCCCGAGTTGCTAAAGTCTTTGCCAACGGAGCCTGTTGACCATTTTGACGGAGGGTGCGGACATTGAACGCCCCGATATGTAATTTAGAGCATAGTTTAAGGAGACCAGGGACACTGTTCTGTGGATTCAGATCGTTGTTGAAGGCTGCAGAACTAGGAGGTTGAAGACGATGTAGTATCGTTAATTGAGAAACGTGAAGGAAGATTAGAAGGTAATGATGAAGGAGGTGGACAGCAGTCTGAAGAAACTTGAGTGTTGACAAAGTTGTGAGAGCAGTTGACACTTCCCGGTTGCCCACACCGTGAAAGGCTATTTCTTTTTAAGGTACCTTTAAAAGAGATTTATGTGACCGCAGAGCCCATCGGACATCTGCTTGAGGCCTATCACACTGTTTTTTGTGCAACGTTAGCAACGTGTTTTGGCATGTTCAAAGAACTTGACATTGGCTTTTGAAAGGCTCCGGGGTGAAGTGAATGCAAGCAGGTCTTTAGAGGGCCGTAAAGGTCTACGAATTAAAAAGGAGCTGTGTTCACCTGTAACTTCCAGAGACGAATTCAAGAATCTGTAGGTTGACTATAAACAACGAGCATAGGGAAAACTACACAAGTTGCCGAACGTAACTTAACTGCTTGAAGGTTTGCTGCTATTTCGAAGCTAACTACCAGAGACGAAAAATCAGCAGGAAGCCAAAACTCCAATAGTTGTTTGAAGAGTACTTCAGGAAAAGCTTATCTTGGAGCTCAAAGATAACTAAGATACGCACATGGAAGACAAGTGGGGTGAAACATTAGACGTAAGTGATAAATAAACAAGCAAGCTTGTATACCATCTATTGAAGCTTTCAGGCAATTCAACAAACCAAAACTTGTAGTTGGAGATGACTTCGAAAAGTCTTATCGGAAACATGCTGAACCTTAGTTTCATAATCATCGTTATCATCATGGGTGAATACAAATAAGAATTAGACACGAAGCAAAGCCACTTCACTTCTAACTTTAATAGGATTATGATAAGGAACCGGAAACAGTGCCAACTGACCACATGGAAGAGAGCTGTTGTCACAGTGAAAATGCACGTGATAAGGAAAGTGAATTAACAGGTTTGTGACCAAATTCTTGAAATAAATTATTCGTTATCGCTCCACTTCTTTGAAACAAAGCATACTTCATGATAGGAGAACTGGGAGAGAGGTAGGGGAACTATAGAAAACGTTGAGAATCAGTAAAAATGTCGGGTCACACTCAACATTGGTAGTACCAGCATCGAAAACTGATAGTTTTTTGGTCTCTTACGTTAAGTTCTTAGGGCTTGGTTTTCTCCTGCAGTAGACATGGAATCTCTTGCTTTTTTGATTTGGTGAGGTGAATGTTTTTGTGAGTTAGTAAACTGCACTTTGTAGTGACTACGAAGCTACGGGTTGCTGGGATGACTACGGTTCTGTTGTGACTTGTGTTTGATTGGGAATAGTACGACAAAGAGAAGTATGTGGGAATTGCCCGAAAGGTAAAAGTCGATGGCATGAGTCCAGTTTCCAGAGCAGAGTCAGCAGATAATGTAGGTGTATCAACAAGAAGTAATGATTGGTAAGTAGAAGGGAAGTGACGGTAGGCTAGTGAGGTTAGCAACTCCATTAGAAAAGCTTATTACCAGATGTGCTAAACAGTGGGCACAAATTTAAGGCCCATAAACATCATGCCAAGTATGGGAGAAGTCTTGCAGAACCTTGAGTCAGGCCCTAAGTTTTATATAGTGAGTGACCCAACAAAAATGTTGACTGTCTCTGACGTTCCGTATCTTTACTAGTGGCTTTGGTACTGATGTGTCTTACCTCTTACTTCATAATGTGGTTGACAATCTCCAGACGTATCGACAGAAAACCTGGAAATAGCGACCGAATCAACTTAACATGAACAAGCGTTTATCCCATCTTGTGCACTTGCATTATAGCAAGTTGTATAAGCTTCTTCTCTGAAAGCACTCAAGCAGGAACTTCATCTCCCCAGAGATATTTGCTGCAAGGATTAATACAGAAGAACTAGTCTACTATCCTTATAACGGAATAGTGGCTAATCAAAAGCCGGAACTTATTACAGGAGCTCGTGGTAAAAGTTCCTTCATGGAGTACATTCCAGAATCAACTAGATATATACTGTTTTAACTACTAAAAAGGTTAATAATGACAGCTTGACCAAATCTTAATACAGAAAATTCACCTCAAACCAAGATAGAACCACGTGATGTGACGCTACGTAAGAACTTGGCGCCTAACATCCAGCACCAGTAGTGCAAACAGAGGAAACTTGTAGTTTTTGAGCTCTCCCTTCTAGGCATTGAGTCTCGGTTCTTTTTTTCGGTTGTATTCCTTCGGTACTCGCAGTGGTCTTTACGTTTTTCCTGCTTATGGCTTAGGAGGCAGGGGTTGTTTATTTGAAGGTATTTTTCTTGCAAACTGCAGCTTGGGTTTTTTCGGGGAGCAGCGTGGCCGTTGACAAGATCAGTTAACTCTCTGCGATTCTCTGTTTTGTAAGCACTTGCAATTAAGCACTAAGTATCACTTAGAAAGTTCTGGAAATGGGGTGAGTGGGGAATGAGAAAAAGAGGAGGGAAAAGTACGTAGGGGAAAATAAGTGTTGTCAGTAAGAATACGGAGAATCCAATATCTTTTTACTAGCTAGTTTACATCATTTGATTTCTTTATGCTCGCTTCTGGGTCTTGCGGAACGGTTCCAGGTCCCTGGTAGATTCTGATGAAGTAGGTCTACCCACTCGACTGCTGTAGCTCTGGTTAGCTCAACGGGTGGTTGAGTGTTGGTTGATTTTCTAGGGAGTGTTGTTCGTTTTGTGTTTTTTTCTTCCGAGGACTGTGGTGCGGATGGGTTCCACACGTGTCACGCCGGCAGGCAAGACTAGCCAGGCTGGTTGTAAAAAGGAGATGAAAAATATGTTCAGAGAAACCGAGAGGTGCAGAGAAAAACAAATAGAAAGAAAGAAAAAAGAAGAGTAGGAAAAAGTACTCGGCGCGGAAGAAGAAACATCTATAGATTTACGGGGAAGGGGTGATAGGGAGGGCTTTTGTTAAAGTTTGAGGACGTAAAGTCAGAAGGAAGAATAAATAAAATGATAGGATGAATGGGAATACAGTAATTCTTCTAGTACGAGACGGTAGCTGGAGAGGACGTTTGTAGAAAGGTATAAGGCCAAGGTCCTAGTGATAGTGGTTTTACAAAGTGTTCAGTAACGGTTGGCCGTACTGGGTTGGTAGGACGTGTCAGCGTAGTCAACATTCCAATTGGGTGGTCGCAAGCCGTGTGTCTCCGCGTAACGGTCCAACCTCTTCTTGAAGCTGTCAATAGACGGAACAGTAGCAACCTCAGCAGGCAGTGCTTTCCAGTGGCCGAAAACTCGCAGAGAGAAGAAGTGTGATCGCACACGGTTTTCGCTCTTTGGTGTGCGATTCTCCTTGAGTTACCACAAGGATCACCATACTGGCCGTTCTGTAGCACTCCGCTGTTCGGATGACTTGGGTTACTTAGCATTTTGTAAGCCGTTATCAAGTCACCACGTAATCTGCTGTAGCTTAGAGAGTAGAGCTCTAGATCTCCCAGCCTGTCCTGATATGGTTTTCGCCCCATTCCCACGACACCCTTTGTAGCTCGCCTTTGGACTTTCTCTAGGAGGTCCACGCCTCTTTTCAGATATAGTGGTGCAGTGACGTTGTGGACCTGTAGGCAGCGTCGTATATAAGTCTTATACAGCTTCAAAAAGAGTTCTGCGGTCAGGGCACCCAGTTGTCTGCGCATGAAGTGCAGCACTGCGTAGGCTCTGGAGGCACCTCCCGGACAATTGGAGCCTGTGTCTAGTTTGTCAGTTAGTATTAGTTGTAGGTCTTTCTCCGCGGTGGTGTTGGAAATCCGTGTCCCACAGACAGAATAGGGTACCTTATGAGAATCAGGGGTGTGGGGAAACATGGCTCGACACTTATCCAGATTAAATGCTAGTCCAACAATAACCGCCCACCCTGCAAGTAATCTGAGGTCACTTTTCGGTGCACTTGATTGTCTCCAACGTCAGAGCTCCCCATAACTTAACAACATCAGCGTAGAGTAGAATTGGGGAGCTGAGATTCAGTGGGAGGTCGTTCACAAAAAGAAGGGATAGCAGTGGACCAAGAATCTCTCCTTGTGATGGTGATGATGATAACGTCCTCCAAGTCAAGCAAACTCTGTTGGCTTTTGTGCAGAATTGTCTACCATCTAGGTAGTCCTGCAACCGTGAAAGCACTTGTCCCTTGATGCCCAACCTTGCTGCTTTGTGAATGAGAATGGCATGTGGGACTGTGTCGAGGGTTCAGCAAAATCCAGGAAAATAACATGGACAGGAATTTGGAGGTCCCTGTAGCGGCCAGAATCCAATAATCTTGGCCTGAACGCGGGAAATAACTAGGCGGTGCCAACTGACGTGAATCTGACTAGTTCCTGCGTTCTACTGCATAGCTTCCTAACTTCCGCGAGTGATGCACAGTCAAAGGTTGGATCGAAATATCAAAACACGGTTTGTAGTAATTCAATAGTAGATTCGTAACAAAATCTGTGGTACTATCAAAGCAACAATAAGTTATGTCAAATTACAAAAATACCTCAACAGTGCTGTTGGGTAACTATACAGTCCAAAACGTTCTCGGGTACAAATACGTACTACACGGTAAAAACTGGTTAAAAAATACAACTGTTAAATACCTGTCGGTCAATAGGAATATTCCCGGCAAAAGGGATCAAAACTCTGTCTACAGGAATCAAATCAACAAACAAACGTTCCCAGTAGACAGTCAAAAGACAAACAGTCAAATCACTGCACAACCGTAAGTTGAACCAAAACAAAATGTCGTGCGCAGTAAAACAACATCACCTTATCAACAGTCCAGCGTCACATAATAGGAAAGTGAAACACTCATAATAAGTCTCAAACATACAAAGGCAAATACCGAGTGTAAAGTCAAATAAGACAGTTAAACAAGCAAATAACATTACACCGGCGAGGGTCAAAGGTACACCATCCACAACGAGGGTAAAAATGTTAAAATAAATGTCAATACAATCAAATAAGGGTGATCGGGAGGGATTTTCAGATCATTTTTCCGTTACAGTCCCATCATGCCGTCCACATATCACCTGCCACCAGAATGCTTGAGGCACAGGACCTACTCTCTCTGTAACCATGTTGAGCGTGACTAGGTGAGCCGATATTGCCAACCCATTTTGGCGGTCCACTTGGTGAATGGTCTTGCGGGCTGTTGTTAGGTCACCTCGTTTCTTTTGATAGCTCATTGTAAACAGGTTGAGCCGTCTGGGGCATAGGGCAGATGTTTTGCCTTTTAGTCCGCAACTGAACTTGTCGCTGTCCTCTTTACTCCTCGACAGCGTTTGCGTCTCTTTGATGGAGGGGGGGGGCTTTCTTGTCGAATACCCATGTGTGTGATCCAACATTGGTTTTAAATACCATGACGACCCAAGCTCCTCTCTCAGAAAGTGCATTATGGAGTTCTTCTTCGCCGCCACTCCATTGTAAGTGTCAGTAATATCCAGTGTGTCAGAGATATTGAGTCCTAGGTCTTACTCTGTGGATGCCTTGATGACTGCACACTTGTCGAGAGTGCAGCTAGTTATCATAGCCTCGGATTTGCGGAGATCCATCACCTTGCACTTCCTCAGGTTAAAGCGTAAACCGGTCACAGCTGCCCAATTCCTAGGCCCGCTCCTTGAATAGTGACGTGTTTTAACTCGTCCCCATCCATCTCGACAAAATCCACATTTACAACTATCCACTAGGAGCTTTGAACTCCTCGTTAAACGTTTCTGCAACAATCTTGCTGCAGAAAATATCACTGCTTACTTCATCACCACTATTACGCTCGAAACGGACAACCGTGTGGTAGATCTAGCTGTCTCGACTGGCTGTTATAGCTCAGACAATTGAAGGTAAGGTCAAAAGTCTTCTGTTTACTGCTGTGCACATTTTCATTGCTTCACTTCCTTCATCTTCATCTGTTTATTAATATCAATATGCCTGGTAAAAGTGTGCTGGCCCCGAAAAAGGCAAGCGGTAGAAATGCTTTGAGTACAATCTCGCCACAGTTACTGACCACCTCATTTTCAGTGGTTACTAGGGCTGGAGCTACGAGACGCCAAAGCGTGGCGAAGAAAGCAACTGAGGATACGAACGCACCACCCAAGTCCACCTGTCTCGGTCGAACACAATCAAGGCTTGCAACATTTGAAGTTGGCTGCGCAACCAGTCCTCCCGGCACTGTAAACGTCACTGTACCTAGTAAAGTAAACCCAAAGCCCCGTGCTAATCCCTGCGCCCACCCCGATCCCCAGTAAGAACCACTAGGCGGAAACGTCAAAGAGTAGGGCATAAACGTTTGGGAAAACCGCATGGACGTGATGACAACTGCCACACATGTGCCCTCACTGTCACTAAAAGTGATGCTGCCCTTGAGTGCAACGGCTGCAACAGATGGGTGCACTGCCGATGTGACAAAGAAGTGCCACATGAGTACTATAGCTTTATGACGCGTCACCCGAGCACGTGGTTTTGGTACATTTGCCCACAGTGCCGTCTGAGACCGCACCTAGCTTCAGGCTTACCTAGAGTAACCGATAAATCTCCAGTAATCAGAAAGCAGGTATCCGTCCAAACCAGTGTCACAGAGAATATTCACTCTCCAGATGATCTTGGCAATGGTCTACTGAAGGTCGAAAACCTGAGAGGTTCTAAGCCTAACAGAACACTGCCTACACCAAAGACAACTGCATCCACCTCAAGCCATGGAGCCACACCAGAAACAGCATCCAACGGACAGCATAGGAACGGGTCAGGATGGAAAACAACTCGGAGTACCCATGAAAAGCACCTATAGAATCAAATAATATTGGCATCGCTGACCGATCTAGCTCTGTCATTCTGTTTAACGTTCCCGTCTGTGATAATGGTTTTCTGGAACATAAGGACAAGTTTGACAGGCAGCAGTGGGACTCCCTCTGTGCCATGCTAGGTCTGGGCGTTCTCGAGGCAAAGCTGTGTCGACTACACAAAGGCACCCACTCACCCTCAGGGAAGCCTCCGCCGATGAGAGTGACTCTAGTCTCAACTAGGGACGCTGAAAAGTTCCCCTTACTGTCGCACAAATTGGTCATCAACAGATCGTCCAACATTAGAGCCAGACCTGACCGATCATGGGTGTCAAGAAAGACATCTCGAGAAGCAGCTGGTCCACTAAAACCCATAACCATGGTCGTACATGGAATACCTGAAATGGTGACCGGTACCCCAGGTGAGAAGTACACACACGACGTCAAACAATAGGAGTGGTTATCGGCTCGGATGGAGCTGAGCGGGGTTGCAGCTGCGGACAGACTACCACGCCCCCTGCATCTGACAACCATAACCTCACCTAGACTAATGGCTGGCAACTTCGTATCCCCAGAAGTACTCACCAGAGTGCTGGAGACGTGGTACAAAGTTAAGAGCACCATAAGCGGTAACGCTCGCTGCTGTGAAAGCAGACCGAGGACACTGTGACAACAACAGACAGCAGTTACGCCCTGTGCTCAGGCCACCGTAACCCTAAACCGAAACGTTGAGGGTGAGACCAGCAACCTCCACTCAACACCAAATGCACCAGTCGACGAGGGAAAAAACTTAACTGGGCCGGTTCCACTGGAACTGGCCAGTCAGTAGAAACTCTCACATCCAAACCAGTGCCACTAGTTAACTCAGAGACATCCCACGTTACGAGCAGCACCTCCAAGTGTCTACAGCAACGTGAGAGAACTCTGAAGTAAAATGCCAGAGCTCCGATCCCTCTATCTCGACCTCGCCCCGAAAATCATGATCCTGACAGAAAAGTGGTTGTCACCAGACATAATTGACACAGAATTTAACATAGATGATATGATTCCGTTCAGCAGAGACAGAGAACATAGGGACGGAGGGTTGCGATATACGTGAACAGGTGGTTCAGAAGCGAACAAACTACTGACACGGCACTGACAGAGCTCCCAGACTCTATCTGGTGCCACTTCACAGTCAAACACACCAAATTCCTGGTTGAAGGAACCTATAGATCCCCTAGAAGCAACCTGGAACACAACCAAAAACTGCTCCGAGCAATATCCACAGTGTCAACTATAGGGTACGACCAGATTTTAATAGCTGGCGACTTCAACGCTCCAACCCTCAGCCTAGAGCAAGGTGGCACTACCCCGAGCTGGAAGTTTGACTGTAACCCGCTAAACGCCATCCAAATGGCTGGACTGCAGGAAAAAATCAGTGACAACACCCGCTGGGGGTCAGATGGTAAACCATCTAAACTGGGTTACCTACTGACAAGTGATCCCTTCTGGTTGAAAACGTTCAAGTACAAACCCTTCTTGGAAGTAGCGATCACGCTACGGTAATGTTCGACCTGGCATTTAGTGAAGAGCTACCATGGGAGGGACCTCGCCCTTATCTATGTTACAACAAGGCAAATTGCGAAGGTATGAACAAGAGCCTTTCAACAGCTTCGTGGCCAGTGGATTGGTGTTCCTTATCGATCGACCAGCACTGGAACTGGTAAAAGATGTAATTAAGACGGCTGTCTCGCAAAACGTCCCTTTGGCGGTAACAACAACCAGAAAGCGAGCGTCATGGCTAAAACGGGATGCTGAGCGCCTTCCAAAAGCCAAGAGAAGGACATGGCACACATGGAAACTCTCTAGAGAACAGGACGATCATGACGCATACATGACTCCACGGAATCGAAGCAACATAAGGATGCGGGGAGATAGGAAGTCGTTCCAGTCCGACCTTTACCGATTCATGGCAAAAACAAAACCGACAAGCCAAGGAGCATGTGTCATAAAAAGTCCGAACGGAGAAAATCTGTCTGACAGGAGATTGCTGAAATGCTGAGCACCACATTTGACACACAGCTCAACATTCCATCAAGAAAGTGCGCAGACCAGTTGCACGAACAGCCTTCAACGTTACCCGATGCTACTGAGTTACACGAAATACAGATAACTCGCGCTGTTGTTCTCGACAAGCTTTTAAAGTTAAGCGCGGGAAGATCCCCAGGATGCGAAGACATTCACCCGTCTGCGTTGAAAGAATGTGCAGTCACCCTGAGAGGCCCACTCTGAAACCGCTTCCAACACTCCTTGGATGAGCGGAAGCTCCCACGAGAGTGGAAACGGGCTATCCTTTCTCCCATCTTCAAAGTAGGAGATAGACGGAATCGCAACCGTTATAGACCCATGGCCACTCGTGAGTATATAACAAATCCGAATAGTTAGTGATTGGTCTTTGCTTCCGTGAAGTTCGCACCAGGACAAATCCTAAACAACCACTGCCTCCTAAGCCATGAGCAGGAAAAACGTAGACCACTGCGAGTACCGAAGGAATACAACCGAAAAAAGAAGCGAGACTCGTTGCCTAGAAGGGAGAGCTCACAAACGACAAGTTTCCTCTATTGACACTATTAGTGTTGGGGATTGGCACAGAAACTAAGCCTGGAACTTAGCAGGTTAGATGTCAGTTTAGGTACTGTCCTGGTATGAACTTCACAGACGCAGAGGCCAGTCACTAGTTATTCGAACTTGTTATATGCTCACGAATACGAGACCAAAGAAGAACACTATGGCGTAGTCGGATGGAATAGTAAATCTGAGTGGTTGTGCCAAACTACCGATGGGCTCCAACCAACTGACTAGGTGGTCGATTACGAGCAATGCCTCCCTGGTTTTGTTGAACTTGCTTTTCCCGAGCTCCACTCATATGTCTAATGATTATGGAACCTAGAACCTTAGACACTATGTTCGTCAGGCTGATTCCTCTGTGGTTATCATAAGAGGACTTCTCACCTTTCTTAAATACTGGGGTGATCAGTGACTTAGACCAGTCAGAGAGGATCGTATTTGATTCCCATATACTGGCTAACACTTCCGTTAACCTGACTAAGAGCACTCTGCCACCATCCTTGTATACCTCAGCAGGTAGTCCGTGTGGTCCTGCCACCCTTCCCCGTTTCAGGCTACCTACCGCTTTCTCAACTTCTTCTAGTTTTGGGGGCCTATCTCAATGTTCCATTCAGGATTCGACTGGATAGCGGGCAACGCAATGGTGGCTGGAGGCCAGTTAAACTGTTCCTCGAAGTGTTCTGTCCATCGTCCCAGTCGTCTCCCCTGACAGTGAGTGGCAGACCCGTCCTTGTCTGCTACGGTTTCACTAACCGTTGTTGACTTTTTCCCCCAGTTTCCTTAATAAGTCTAAATAACTGTCTACTGCTACCAATCGTCGCCGCCCTTTTCATCCCTTCAGCCTTGGCTGCCCATCACTGTTCGCGATCGTTGCACAGACTTTTTCTCAATCTAATTTTAAGTTGTGCCCGCTCTTCATTGTACTCAGATCCTGCAGGGATGCATTCACGTGCATCCATTAGTTCAGGAGAAGCTACTGATATCCACTGGCTCTTCTTACCCACTATTTCGGAGTCGGATACGGTCTTCAACGTTCCTTTTACAACAGACTGGAGATGAGCGATAGTCTTCTGTTCCTATGACTGCCTAGCCAATTTCTCACTGAAAGCGGCCTTGATATTTTCGTTGTCCAGCAGCACTCGTAGTGGTTTTGTTGCCAAACTTTTCCTACGTCCATTGAGACGCAGGTATATACGCGCTCGGACCAATGCGTGGTTGCTATCCGAACACGTACTCCAGAAGGAGCGGCAGTCTTACACCGATCCCCTCCAGCGATGACTGTTTTGGTGGTTGATTACGAGCAATACAACGTAACACGACAGCCTGCTAAATGGCCAGAATGCTTGACCGGGTGCCTTCGGTCTAGCGAGTCCAGTTAAACTGTCAAGGTCAGCAACAATGTCGAAAGTCGTCAAACCCTAGGCTATTGATTTTGGGGAAGTGTGCGACGCTACATCGGGCATAACTTCTATTCCCTAAGAGTTGTTAGACCCTGGAACGCTGTCGTTAAAGGTATAATCCAGGCTACTTGGTCTGAATCTTTTTAACGCCGACTGGATACCCGCTTGACGTGTGACCAGGATCTGCCCAGAACTAATTGAATTCTCACATTTTAATCGCCACGTTTCCCTCTTTCTTTACTTGTCCACAGGTTAACAACTACAAAAGTAGTGATCCACGGATTGTAGACACAGACGCCACTTAAGCAAAAGCTTCTATTCCGTCAACAAACATTTGAACCATCTGTATGTTGGACTTAGTGTTTTATTGTGGACTGAAATCCTAGTTGTAATTTTAACCTCAAGGTTGAGTAAGTGTTATCTGTTTTTTATCATTTGTCATTTATACATAGTACTGGTGAGGAATTGATATGGTTTGATGGTAATATAGCGTCAAAACGAACCTAAAATCATGGACTTATAGACCAAATGAAGGTTTTTAATGAAACAGTGAGTGTTTTTTCCAAAATGCCATGGCTAAATGTATTATGCAGGATGAGAATAAAGCCGGTCCCTCATTCCTTTCATGTTTAGCTGATCCAGTTTGGGATTTGTTGGACCCACTTCCTGATATTAGATTGTTGTTTTCATCATTCGATACTCAGTTCTTTGGAAGCACTCTTGGTGCTGTGGAAGTCAAGTGGAGTTCTCGGATGACTCTCTGTGCTGGAGTTTGCAGGTTTCAAGGGCGACAGGGGACATGCTGTATTAGTTTAAGTGAGCCTCTTCTAAAATTCAGACCACGGAAAGATCTGGTGGAGACTCTGCTGGTATGATACAATTTTTCTAATCCTATTAGCAGCATGAAATGATCCATGCCTTCCTATTCATAACAAAAAATGATAGGGTATTGATCATATTTATTGATACACTTTTCAGGACCGTGATGACCATGGGCCGAATTTCAGATTGCATATGAACCGCATAAACTCAATAACTGGCATAAACATAACGGTAACTTTAGTTCATATTTGCTTGCCCACTACGTTTAATATTTCGTTGTACAGCCAAACTTTACGTTTTTTGAAACTACCAGTGCTTTCGTTTTCATACAATTTACTTCCAAAATGTTGTACATGTCATCTCTTTTGTCATGACCGACTACTAGTGTTCGGTGTTAACCAAAGTTGAGTTGGGTTGAAAGGTTCAGGGTAGCCAGATCAAAAAGTGGTGCTAATCCAAAAGGTATCACCGTTAGTTTGGGCTGTGTGGTGAGATGTAGACTTCGCGGTTGGTGTCATTGAAACAGCAAGCTTCAATGGGTGGCAACTCTTGGTGGAATGGCTGAAAATCGGTTACAGGCGCCGGTGTACTCACTTTTTGACGTCTTCTGAAGCTTGAACATTTCAACTAGCATTGATTTGCAAATTCGTTTCGTCCGACACACCTTTGTCTGTTTGGTCATCACTCTTTGTCTACCCACTTGTTCTTCACATGCTGCTGTGATATAATACGTGACAACCTGTACCAATCGACTTCCTTATGAGGTTCTGCGTTGATTTCATCTCTTTATATTACTCAAGTTGTTCAGTAATGAATGGAGAGTTACGGAACGCAAATAGTGTAGTGTGATTGCTGAGAGATATACCGAATGAACATAAGATTCTGCATATGTCGATGGGTACATTCTCAGCGATGGTGAACACCTATAAGAAATCAACCCTATCTAAAAATGAGAGTTTTGGGATGTCGAAGAGCTGAAGTAGCTTCACTGACTAGTCAGGTTAAAACGTTACAGTATGATGGGTCAATTATCATAACTAATAGGGAAAGTGAATGTTATGAAGCAAGCAAGGGAATGGAAAATCGATGGTTGCGGTTACAAAGACTTTAGTTTCCAAAGTGTTATAGATAGTGAACAGGCGTGAGTTGACCTGACCGGTGTCAAGAACACCACATAGCGTCTCTGACCACTGAGGTTTTCTTATTATGGACCATAACTAAATAATCTCCACTCTTCTGTATGAGATATGCTGAGGGTCGGTGACATAGCGCCTTTACCTAACAGTCTGATGAGCGAAAAAAGGGTCTTGCATTTGTTGGCAAGAAAACAACAGCTGTATAATGGCTTTCATATTTCTTTCTGAGTAACCTTGCGGTAATTCTTGGATTAAAACTATTCGTACTATTTTGATTTTAATCCTTTGTATTTGAGTAACAGTATTGTTTCACCATCATAAGATACATTTGTTAGTCTTCTTAACAGTCGCTCAGTTTAAGTTTTAGGAATAATCCTGATTCGAGTACAGTTAACTGATAGTTTTGTCCGATTAACACTTACCGGTCAACCACACTATATCTATGACTATCAAAAAATAAAATGTACTAATGGCAACTATACCTAAACTGTGGTTTTGAGTTTCTGTTTTCGACCCTGGACATTGTCCTGCTTACCAAGGTATGAGCAGCATGTTATGGATAGCCATTTCATATTAAGTATGGCTTACAGCAGTGCGTAGATTTGCATCAGGACAATCAGTTTTTTGTTTTACTTGCAAAATCAATTCAGTTTTTGGTTTCTTGTATAACTAAGAATCAGTTCTTATTAGCACACTGACTGTATAACTATATTTAAATCAGCTCATATTTACCTATCCCGAAACCAGGTTTATCACTCATTTCATGATGAAGTTGACACATATCGCACCCACTGGTGGCGCTGTACGGGCCCTTGTCGTGATCGTCCGCCATATTTTGGGTATGTTAAACGTGCTATGAATAGAGTGCCAGGTCCTAGAGATACCTGGTGGGGTCAGCACCAAGCTACATGCACAGGTAAGTTTTAAAGAATTGCTTTTTTATCGTGGTTAAAATAATCATACTGAAGAGCTTATCGTTTTGTAGAAATATTTCACAGAAACAGGTATGTTTCTGCTGTTTTCGTGTGACCTAGAATAGCATGTATAATGGTGCATTTTCACCTTATAAGAAAGATTGTCACAACCAAAATTCTTACTTTTGTCTTTTTGTATTCCGGTGGCATAGTAAAGTATACGGTTCTGTAAAGAACAGCTGTCATTTACGTTCATTCTGAGTTATCCATCTGCTGCTCAACCTAGTGGAAGTTTATGTACTAGACTCTAAGGGCCTAAATGGGTCTATACTACTGCCCAGTTGCCCAACTCGAATTACGCAGGGCAGGATTTAAACTTGAGACTCACTACTATGACTCATTGGCTTAGATACTCAGCTTTCAGTCTCTTTCTGCATTACTGGTTACACGTTATTGGCTTAAGAGCTTGGCTTTCAAGCAATGTTTGTCTAGTTCGAACGCCACTCCGCTCACTTCGGCCGAGGCAGTCGGGTAGTATTATGAGCTGTCACGACTAGTGCAGTTCATGACTTAGCATATAAACATGTACAGGACTAAGTCACATCATTATATATATAGTTCACTTGACCTTTTAGCACTCACTACCCACTTATGGAATCATGTCGGACGTTTGACTTAATGAGGCTAACAGCTCAAGAAATATGGTGTATTTTGGGATTTAAAGTGAATAGATGAATATAGTATTGACGTTATTTTCATTTAAAGACCTTGTTGGTTTGCGACAGCAATAACATTACTCTTCAAAATCATTACTATTTTAGCTTCTTAAATAAGCATTCTGGAGGACGGTTCAGCTATGATCTCATTTTCATTTAAATGAACAATAACGTTTAGAACTTATCACAGAAGAATTACAATTATCTGGATCTAAGTTATGGTTTAAAACTACCAACCAAACAGCCTGCAGAAAAGAAAACCTACTACACAGCTTCGGAGTCAATATGATAAACAGTAGACTCATTGGCAAGGTTAGGTTATCCATAGTTTCATCTAGATAGGTAGTTACTGAAACGCACGTTGATTGACATCTAAAGCTGATTGTAGGCTTTTTTATTAGCATTACTAAAAGCCTTTCACGACTGTTGACATCTATTAGGCTATTTTACCTTCACTCGCTTAGTTACATGAAGTCATGAGTTCTGATAATTATTTAACGAAATGATGTAGTAAGTTCCTATCTATTATCTTCAAGGACACCACAGGTCATATATTCAGCTTGTGCTTTCAGCGATGAGACTAATGTAAACTTTCCTATGTAATATTTTGGTTTGGATCACCGTTAAACATCTTTAAAATCTCTGTCAACTTTTCCCTTCAACAGTGTAATAAATACCTTCAAGAAGTCAACTTGGATTTTAATTTTAACCGTGTATACATCTTTACTTACCATTATTATTACTATTTCTATGTATTCCACGATTTCGACAATGTACTAGTATATTTCGTTCTTACATTGGTATAATTAAGAGCGTATTGCATGAACCTACATAGGGTAACCAACCAATAAGTGTGTCCCTCTTCTTCAATGAAATGAGGTAAAATAAAATGTATAACTAGGTAACCGGTATAAATTTATTTGGTTCCAGTAAAATAAACGGATGCAATATTTTTCTCTTAACTCGCTTTTACCCATTAGTTTCACCAGAGATAATTAAATTCCTTTGAACACAGAAATTATCTTAACAGCCTAGGAATAGCCCAACCATATAACCGGATAAATGATATAGCATATTGAACTGTATGTTGGAATTATTTTCTAGTTTCTTCGTGTTACTTGATAAACTAAATTCAGTCATTTATATGTATTGGTTTTTGTGTGATGCTAATGGTAGGCCTTATATTCGGTATTATGCAAAGTTGACCAGACATATCTAAGGTTAAATAAGATACACACCTCTAATGTGATCTAAAGACTATATATTTTGTTGTTTCATTCCTTTCTATGAAGTTATTGTAGTGTTATTTAGTTTTTTTTCACTGTAAAACGTTTCTGACGCAACCAGGCAAATTTATAAAAGTTAAAGAACCAGAAAAGAAAAATCCTTCTAAACGAAGAACAACATCCGAATCTTGTCCAAAGGATCAAAGTAATTATTGCTAAGTTTTTATTATTTTGTATCTCAGATTGTTCTATACACACTTATGTAGTAAGGCAGGTATATAGTAAGCTTCTTTGAGAATTTGGGTTTACGATTTACCTCTGCCAATACTTGTCACCAAAAGCTGTTAGTGATCCTGTGGTCCAAAAATGCCTCATTCAACATTGCTCCTGGTACTTAATAGCTGATATAAACAGATCGTCACTAAGGGGTTAAATGCGTAGGTTAGTCACTAAATAGTGGTCAGTATTAGTTTTTAAGCGTAAACCAGGTCAGAGGTTTTCACTGAGTAGGTTGTGATGTTGTTCTCAAGTGAAATAACTTTCTTCCTAGATTAATCTTCACGGCCGAATATAAATCCTAAAAATGTTAAACATACATTTGTTATGTGAAGAGTGGTTCATTGGCTTAATCGCTCGGCTTTCAAATAATAGGTTCCGAATTTGGACCCCGTTCCACCTCCTTTGGCCTGAGCAACCGAATAATATCATTAAACCTCACACAAAGTAGCTCGTAGCCTAGTATGTAAAAAATCTATGGAGTTGATATACATTTAATTTAAATTTGTCATGGAGATTCCGAGGGGGAGCTTGATTAATTTTGTGTTTGATTACTTGCTTTGCATCAGAATGAACTTGCGGCTATTTTAAAAGGCTTTCATATTTTAAATCCGTAAATTCTGTCAAATATATTTAAGCTTAACTAATAGATTTCAGGGTACTTTTTGGATTCAATCATAAGTTGTTCATTAAGAAACTTTTCTGTCTGTAAACTTTCACGTTCTCCAAGGATAATTCTCACAATTGTAATATGTAACAAATGTTCTTCGGGAACAGCGTTGCAACTGAAAATCATCATTAAAGTACTGTTTGATTTTATTTCTAGCCCTTGTTAAGCTAAGATTAAAAAACTGAAGTATGTTGTCGGAATCATGCAAGTTTAAAGTCACATGTTGATTTTCTATTTTATCAGTTTATTAATCAGAAATATTCCTCTGTAAGTACTGGTATGAAGCTTCTTGATTCTTAAAATTTTCCTTTTGAATTTCTCACTACGAGAATTCTTCCGACTCACTATTATCTCATCCATTTGCATTGCATTGTTTAGAAATCCATAGGTAGACACGTAAATCATTAGTACCTGTCACAATTCAGTGTTATATTATGTTTTCAGAAATTCGAAAGTTTCCTAAATGACATAATGATGTTATCCGTAGATGAATGTAATCAAATTAGTGTATCTCTGTGATGTATTGTGAACTTCTAAACTAGTTACGTATTCATTCGTTTCTCAAGACTGGATAGTATGTTTCTATATGTGTTAATTCTAAAAGCTTTTGTATATTTTTCCGTAATTGCGGATTTAGGTCTTCGTTTTACAAGGAAATTCATTATAGCTATGTAAGCTTGTTCATCTGTGTATTCCGATTACTAAAATAACCATTGGTTAGCTTTGTTGAACTTTTTAAGGTTTTAATGGAGGTCATTTAATAAAGCCATTTGTAATTAATGTTCATCAGAGATGTCCACTGTCTTTGGGCTCATTCAGTTTCGTCATAAGGACTATTCTAAATATAAGTTGATTTCATATTGGGGCATTGATGATGCATCCAGCTGCCTATGAGGTGTTGAATGAAATACGTGTTTAGCTACATAGTTGTGCTAATGTTTTCTGTTACATATAAAAGCACTTGTGTCTCCTCAAGTACCAATATCGTGCGGTATAATAAGGTTTTGGTGGTAAGTTTTGGGTAAGGAACTTAAATCGTTCCTCCTCATTAACTGAGATCTTAAGGCATGCTTGCATCTCAGTAGCAGTCGCATACCTCATGCAAAGTTTTCAACGGAATAGGTATACAGTCAGCGTAAATTTGTTTTCGTTATAAAACGTAAATGATATGTTATCAGTGCACAACTTTGCAGAATATTCGTTACTTAATGGAAGAATCAACGAATACATGTTACTGAAGTCAAGCTCTTTATATTTCTTGTACAACGGAATACATCTGAATATTGGCTTATTTCCGTATTAGATTGTGTAGACTGACAACCAAACAATGCGATAAAATGCGTGATGTTTTGTCTACAACAATAATATCGTTGTTATTATTTCAGAGAAACAAATTAAAGGTGGTGATATTCGCAACTTTATTACTATCAATTTTGAAAGTGAAAATACTACTTCACAATTCACTAGTCAGTCAAACAGCTGTAGTCAGAGCAGTTGTTCAACTACGCATATTTGGCCCAGCGATGATAAGGGTCACATTCTCGGGAAGAGTAGTTCACCAAGCCAAAACATTAAACCAACCGGCTTTGAGTCATATCCAGTTGAAACAGTTAGTGAATCGAAAGTAACTTGCCCTAACTGTGCTTGTGTTATTTCTCTTTCTCTAATTAATGACCATCTAGATATCTGCCTTTCATAAAAATCAGATTTTATAATTTTCTAAAAATAGAGTATTTAAAAGTATCATCACTTTGTTTTTGATGTTTCAATGCGATAATATTCTTGGAAGTGTTTTGTTTATGGCTGTTATTTGAGTTACCTGAGTTGGTCCGAGTGAGGTATTTTTCGGCCTTTCAAACTTTCGTAATATGTTTGACTGATGTTGACAAATAAATGCGAAGTTGCTTCCCTCAGCTCTGCAGTTCGGGGCATTACTATCATTATCCTTTGTATAATAAAGAGTCCAGTCCTCAATGCAGACAAAATCCTGCGACCAATCGTTAAACGTTACCATTAAACTGAGCTACTGGTTTGTATGGTTCACAGCATCAAATTCCAGGTGACTGGATTAAATTGACATGCCCTAAGAGCTAGATGATAAGACAGCGCTTTATCAAGAACTTCATACAAACCTTAATATGAGAACAGAACTTTAACGTTGTGCTAGAGTATAGCTTCATGATAGTTTCAATAGGTATCAGTTAAATAATACTATTTCATTGTATGACGCATATAAAAAGGAACTATATTGGGATTCATACAAACAATTGATAAATTTACACAAGGCATATACATCAAAGTTGTCAGCCAAAACTACTTTAATAATAAAGTATATTAGAATTCTTCGACCATATAGGGCGCAGGAGGGGATGATGATTCATAATGAATTACCTATTCCTGCAAGCGAAATCATAATTTATAGTTCCAAAGCATTAGTAATGTGGTTGTGACTGTATCGAAGACTGGATTAACGAAGAAGAGGAAGGAATACAATAGATGGACTAGTACTTATGTTAGGCCTCTGTCGCACATGATAATCAAATGGTATGGGAGTATAATTAACTCAACGAGTTATGGTTATCCAAGTAGCATTTGTAATAAGAACAAAAAATAATCAATATTTGAAGGTGATTGACTAGTCGCAGTTTCTGCATGTGTATTCGGTCAAGAACACTACGATATACTTGTTTTTGGGTAAATTTCTATTCATAGTATCACCAGACTGAAAAGTATTGGGAGACTTGAAGTATTGAATGGTCTTGCAAACTGAATTTGATTTCTCAATTTCAGAGAGTGTAGGGTTAGATCACAATTTGAGGGGTTTCCCTAGCCAACCATCCGTTCGGTCACAAATTCGAATTTGACTGGCATACGTCGCGGTAGGTTAGTGGCACTAACCCTTTCCGACTGACAACTGCTACCTTGGCTTGGTGGTTGGGCTTGCATGTCACAGCGATTCAACGAGCTATGGTGGCTGGTACCGGGAACGTCTTTTGGATAATGGTAAGACAAAAAGCAGTTAGTGCCACGATGTATATAACCACGTTATGATGGTGATGCGAGCACGAAGTCGTACTGCTAGCTGGATGGGGTGTGAGTACAATAAGCTGCTTCCCATGGATGACTAGCAGTATCACGTTGGTGTTGCTTTCCTTATGGGAAGGAGAGGGGTGGGAAAGCTCGACTACAAAAATAACCCACTTTATGTGATATTCGAATGTACGCAAACAGTTAATTTTATGCTGTTTGTTAATGATAAACAATAGAGAAAGGAACTGATTTTAGTGACAAAATGAAAGCTTTAGTGAGGAAAACATTTCAAAATAACTCAAGCTTTCTCATTTGTAAGATTGGAGTTTCAGTGAGGAAAACATACCATCTGGTAAACAACAAAATTAGGAGCAGGGTAGTACCGATCCATTTTATTTTGGCGGTATCTCTTCAGTCACCTACAACCTAGAATACCAAAATACATACTTTAACTGAAAATCCAAAGTGTTTTAATTCACTGAAAGAAAACAGAACATCAGTCAGTGGTTAAGATGGATAGAAATAGCTAAAGTGAAGTAGTTATTCAAAGTGGTAGATTCAAGGAAGGTTTATAAATGCTAAAAATTGTCACAAGTATATACATAATAGAAGTTTATTGAATAGAGATAAGGGAAGTAGCATTCAAAATGTTGAAGGACTTAATATTCATAAATAAGTCATACGATAAGTAAGGTATTAAACAAAATATTGAGTTAAGCTCAGTTATTTGGAAGCATTCAACATGAACGATATATGACGCAACCGAATAAGTGCGAAGGAATGAACATCTAACTTTGATGAAGGATGACGTAATCAGGACCACGTTACCAAAATAAGAAGGTTGACTATAGCTTCTTTCTGAACATAAATTAAGTTTGAGGCATTTGATGGCAATGGCCTCAGGAGAACTAAGCTTATTCTCTTGTTTATTATCTTGAAGGGATTGGAGACATCTGCCTGGTTTCCATTGTCAACCAGATGCCGAGTGATTGCGCTGTTCAGAGTGTTGCTTCCCCTTAATCATTGTAGGGTCTCCGGAATGTGTTCAGATAAGTCTTTCTTTCTGTCCTTTCAATGTATCTGCTTTGACAACCACATGTATATTGATGCATAAAATTAGAGGTAACATAGGAAGGGTACTTGTTGACTTCTGATCGGGTTAAAGAGCACATTGTTTGGTACACAAAAATTAACCTGATTGCAGGGCAAGTTTCAACCCAGTGATGTTTTCAATCGTCTTTCAGTAGTTCTTACGATGTCATCACCTTTGAAATTTTGGTGAATGAATTCAGGCTTTTTGCTGGCTGTAATTTTTTTTGGCGTTTCGTCTTCTGTTGATAAATGTATGAGGATATCCACTATCCCATAAGCATCTTTTAACTATTTGCAACTCTTCCTCCATATATCATTTTCACTCTATGAAGCAGGGTTTTAACTAATCCCCGTTTGGTGTTAGTGGAAAATGAGCTATTAAAATTGAGGTAGGAACCACTGCATATGCTTTATCGATGAATGAACCTTCGGAACGCAGCATCTGTCTAACATCCAATGGCGATATCCAGGAAATGGAATTTTCCATCATTTTCGTATTCCATGGTAAATTCAATATTGTTATGAGCGTTTTTAAAACGTTTTGAAAAATGAGATGCATGGAATAAATCATTGTAAACAATCAATGTCGTCGACATACCTGGTTTAAAATGTATCACTTATTGTCTTATAGTTTTGAATTCTCTTGATTGGCCATGAAGAAATATGCCAGCATGGGACTTAGTAGGCTCCCCATAGCTAGCCCATCAATTTGATGGTTGAGTTTATTATTAAATTGAAACCGAATATCTTAAGTGTACACTGGTATAAGGCGTATGAACTGTGTTGCTGGCATGCGAGAATAACGGCATATGATTTACCACTACGCTATGACTATTTCTATTCGTTTTAGCCACTGACTGATATTCTGTTTTCTTTCAGTGAATTAAAGTATTGTAGGTTTCCAATTAAACTATATATTTTGATATTCTAGGTTGTAGGTAGCTGATGAGTTACCGCCGAAATAAAATGGATCTGGTTTATTCTATTGCCAACCTTGTTCTTGCGCTTTTCAAATTCATAAAAGGGAATTCGTGCATGAAATACCATTTCATATCCATTTCCTTCCATATTGTAGGTAACTTCTAAGGATATACTCGTCTTGGCGTTGCTACTGGCAAACATGGTATGTTCATTAATAGGACTTGTGGTGAATCCTGTTCACAAATTGAAAGGATGATAAGTTGATGAGAAAAGTAGCACAGGCTCAGGCCTTCGTCGTAGAACTTCAACTGAGTTACTTCTTTAGAGATTCTCCAGGCGATTCAGCGACTTGGACGATTTCAGTGGGATGAGTTTGTTAGTTGTGTTCCATTCACTGAGCTGGATGATTTAATCGTGAACCTTACATTGTCTTTCTAGATAACATCATCAGCCCTAACTTCACAATCAAGGGGAGTATCAGAATTTCTATTTGGGTAGTCCAGTAACGCCGTAACAAAGTGGTATGTGCTGGGTAGTTTCATTTAGCTGTTATTTCGTTGATTGCACAAATCTTCCTTTTAATCATTCCTTTGTCTGACCCCTGACCTTGTAGCCGTTCATCATTTTTTTTTAACTGGTTGATAGGTTGGATCTAAAGCTGTACATCTATTGACTGCTGGTTGACCTGAATGACAGTCTTTTAAGGATTCTCTGTTATCCTTTGTGTTTCTTCTATCCAAGATGCTTTCATTTCCAAAGTTGAATTCATATCCACATACATTGATATAAGAGACAAAATATTGTGACGTTTAGTTGCCACTTAGTGTGGTTGACTGTGTAAGGCATGTATTCAGCTTTGTAGGACGTTTCAGAAATATGAATGTTAAAGACAAGGAGATAATTTCATAAACATACGGTCATTAATTACCAGTGTCCCACTTATGAAAACATTCAGTTACATATTCAGTCAACTAACAGAACGACAGACAGATGTAATAATCCCACCCGAAAGAGTTTAGAAACTACTGCTAAAATGCACGATAAACGTTCACTTTATGTTTGATAATTGGTTGCAATAGGCTCTCCTCTAGATCTCATGCTAGTCGATATCCTCTTGGCTAAACTTGAAAATGGTCCACTTAGAGATACACTTTATAAACTAGGCTATTATTACCAGTGTGTAGATGATACGTTCGTAATTTGTGACGATGACTTCAACAAAAACGCTGTTTTGAATATTTTCAGTAATGTCCATCCAGCTATGAAGCTTACCAGTGATGAAGAATAGGAGGATCACATACCATTACTAGATGTCCTCACCAAGTAGACAGATGGATATGTTAAGAGGGATATTTTCAGCAAGAACACTTGAAGAGGTCAGTATATTCGTTTTAATAGCTTCACATCAGTTGAGTATGAAAGGAGCCTATTCGAATGCCTGAGCTACAAAATACGAATTACATGTTCTGATGAGTGTGTGGACGAAGAAATGGACAAGGTGAAGGTAACATTGTAGCAAAATAGTTATCCAGTAAACTTCATAATTAAATGCATGCTGAGATCTAGAGAGACTATAAAAATGGATAACGTTGCTAAGGAAGCTTTATTTTTCAGAAAAAATTTCAAAGTCGGTAGTGCCTCTGATGTCTGACACTCTAATTGAGTAGATCTGTCGAAAGAACATTCACTGGAATGAAACTTT